CACAGTTAAATTCTACTTCCTGTCCCACCCACTCCATCTGTATAGACACAAACTCAGTCCACACAGGGTTGATAAGACAGATGACTGATATCTTCATCTGCCAAAATACCGCTATTCCTCATATGAGGTAATTTTGGATTTTATTGTTTATTAATTTATATATATATATATATATATATATATATATATATATATATGTGTAATTATTTATTTGAAAATTATAACATAAATATGTTATAAAATCATTACAAAAATAGCCATTTTGTTTCAACACTACTGGTGTCTTATCAAGTGATGGTGTTGAATGTAGAATAAAGGAAAATCCAGTCATAGAAGCAAAGGTGTGTCTAGGGCAAGATAGTCTAAGAGTGGCCATTCCTCTTGAAGCTGGGAGGAATTTGAACTTAGCTAACCAATTTCTCTTTCAGAATCATTATCCCTTACATTACCTGCACATCACCCCTCATCAATTTTCAATTTCAACAAAAATGAAATGGTGCTTGAAGGAGAAGCAGTCTATAGAGAGATAGATGCTGCAATATGGCATAAAGCAACCAAGTAATCATATTCAGAAATAGAAAAATTGGATTCCACCTTAAATTTGTGAGCATTAAAGCAATACACTTGAATGAAATATACATGCAGCCATGCGACACAAACCTCCACAGAATGGTAAATTGAGAAACCATTATCTCATTTGACAATTCTCAGAATGGAATCTGCAGGAAAAAAAAAAATATGAACATCTATACTTCCTAATTCTTCACCAGCCTTATGGCATTGTCATCTGTCTAAAGTTTTACAGACAGACATAAAAACAAAAGTTCCTGAGTGCAAAAAAAGATGCTTCGGCTGAACAAGATGGTTGTTTGATGTTAGCATGTGCCAAACACATTTTTCCTCCTGATCAACAGCCAATTGTCACAGTATAAATCAAGATTTAGTATTTTTTTTGCTTTTTTGGAAGTGGGCCACACTGGTAGATTTTTTGACTTCTGGCCCAAAATCTGCAAGTCAGACTATTGAGATGACATAATCACACATACATACATATATATATGTATATATATATATATATATATATATATATATATGAAAGGTATATTTGGGCAGAAAGTATACATCCAAACAAGTTTGATAAAAAAGAATTGACAAGATCTGTCTGTTTAATTTTTTTATCGTACATTTCTAACTTTCAGAAAAGATGTTGAATATTCTATTCGAAGTTATGGATAAACATCTTAATGAATACCAAAAAGCAGACAAACGAGTCAAAACTACCACACTGACAGCACAACAGTTCTTGATAATGACTGGAAAGTTAAAAATACTTGAACAAAAATAAGAACTATAAACTCTGGACAGTTTATCCACAACTTTGAATATAATACTCAACATTTTATCCGAAAGTTGGAAAAGTATAATAAAAAATTAAACAGACAGACCTTGTCAGTTCTATTTAGTCAAACTTATATATATATATATATATATGTGTGTGTGGACACTGAAGTCAACACTAAGCAGCAACAGTCTGTTTCATGCTTGAATACAATCTTCAGGTCATTTATTTACATACGCTCTATTACTGATATTGATCACTTTTACTCATAAATATAGCATACATTAAAACTATATTTTAAGACATTTTTATGTTTATACATCCTTTTTATAGATGGTATTTATCAATTCACCCACAGGAATTGAATGTGGCACAAAGCCTTTTTAATGTGGGTATGTCCGAGCCCGTAGGCCCAGCCAAAAATAAAACCCATCTAAACCCGTCCAAGCAGGCTAGTTCCGTCAACCTCCCCCAACGAAACCCCACCCTTCGGCGGAGCTTCGTCAGGGTTCCTCTCTGCAAGCAGAGAGTTTGACAGACACCCGGCTCGGCAGCTCACAAAGCGCAGATACTACACTTTGATCCTAGCCACCGGGCCGAGCGGGTATTCTTTTTAGAGATGGTATTTATCAATTCACCCACAGGAATTGAATGTGGCACAAGGCCTTTTTTAATGTGGGTATGTCCGAGCCCGTAGGCCCAGCCAAAAATAAAACCCATCTAAACCCGTCCAAGCGGGCTAGTTCCGTCAACCTCCCCCAACGAAACCCCACCCTTCGGCGGAGCTTCGTCCGGGTTCCTCTCTGCAAGCAGAGAGTTCGACAGACACTCGACCTGGCAGCTCACAAAGCGCAGATACTACACTAAATGCTCTGTTTATAATAAACAGTATTAAACAACATTTACCGGTCTGAATGTCCGAGAAATTTTCACAGAAAATATTCGTCCTCCGTAAGACAGTAAATTCTACCTTGCTAACCGAACGCGCCTCTGTGGCCAAATCGGTTAAAGGCATGTCAAGCTAAATGACGGTTCCATATAGGAAACAGGTTTGAATCCTGTCGGAGGACAAATATTTCACATAAGGCTAAATTTTGTCTCCCCTTACCTTACATCAGTAGAACCAAACAGCCTGCATTGTCATACAATCATTTTACTCTCAGCCTTATATATATATATATATATATATATATATATATATATATATATATATCCGGTATTGCGATGATTATATATTTTTAAAAAACAATTATAATTATTATATATATATATATATATATATATATATATATATATATATAATAATTATAATGAAAAATGTGTTTGGCACATGCTAACATCAATATATATATATATATATAATAATTATAATTGTTTTTTAAAAATATATAATCATCGCAATACCGGAATTCCTATGTTTCAACACAGAAACTACAATCCAAATTAAATTCAAAAAATGAAACTTAAAATACAAAGTTCCATTCATTATCAAACAATGCTAAGAAGCAATGCTAAGAAACATGGGAATTCTGGTGTTGCAAGGATTATATATTAAAAAAAAACAATTATAATCTTATGCTCTACTGTTGTATTGAGCACTGTTTTTTAAAAATAAAAATAAATGCTATGAACTCTGAATTATAAATCTCATTGTTCTTTCCTATTACATACACACACACATATATATATATAACACTAACAAATGGTTTTTATAACATAAACAATTAATTTGCATAACAATTTTCAAAAGCATATTCTAATATTTCATCAGTCTTAATTATTTTAATGCAAATTTTTATACTTTCTCTATATAAAAAATGTTTCTGTCAATCATGTTTGTATAGAAAGAATTTATATCAGCCTTGTCAAAATTCATATATTGGCAGAAAAATATCTGTGTTTACACTTAAAGAAAACACAAAATAAACAGCATTGGTGTCTAAGAATATGGTTTTTTTTAATAATTAATATTAAATATGAATTTCTTTTTGGCACTACTTAAATAGACAGGTCCACTTGGAATAAAAAAATAGTGAAACATTTTTTAAAAAATAATTTTTGAAGATTAGGCTTCTTTAAACCTTCATTAAACCATCACACTTGTCAGAATCAAAAATATTGCTATCAATTTAGAAGTTGGGGTCCTGTTCATAATATCCATACAGTGTAAAATTAATCGCTCTCTCTCTATATATATATATATATATATATATATATATATATATATATATATATATATATATATATATTTGTATTATAATATTAGACAACAAAAATAGCATTTCATCTACTTCCAAGATACATGATGCCATATAAAGATGCGTAGATAAAAAGTTCTCAGTATAACCAGCTTCACAAATAATTTTTTGGGAAGGGTTTCTTTGTCAGGCCAATAACTTTTCACTATCTATACTTAATTAAATCCAAATTCGTACTCAGAATTTTCTTAACATCCCAGATTTTTTTTAGATATATACATAGAACATTTAAATGTAAATATATTAACAGTCTGTAAATGGTATATTTATGTTTAAAGTAAATAGTATTTTGGGGGGCAAATCAGTTCAAGGAATATTTGGGAAGATGACCAAATAAATATAAAAAATTCAGTTTACTTCTGATATGTTTAGAAATCTTTAAAACATTTTCTCCTGCATATTGAGCTTGTCTTCCATTGTAGAAACCAGCAGTCATCACCCAATGTCCGTGGCTTGAACTGGCCATGATGTCTTGTGGAACTTTTCATCAAGATCCTTATTTATGGTACCCAAATCCATTGAAAATAAGAAAAAAACAAACAGGAGAAATTGCAAGCAGCTCATTTCATGGAACATCTCACATCACATTCTTTGATACAATTTTAGCGTGTTCCTTAAAACAATATAGCTGTATGCAGTCCAAGAAAGATCTAAGAGTAATGCCAATGAATTCCATTCTGCCACATCAAGCTCCTCTATAGAAACAATCATTTTGTACATTTTGTTTTTAAATATCTACAGTTTGTTGATAGAATATAAAAAAAAATACATAAAAATGCCTGCAGAAAGTGATTGTGTCATTGTGAGAAGTAATAAAAGTGATAGTTTTATTTAAACCAGCAGAAGGTGACATCAGAGAAGGGAGAGTTTTGGATATGCTAACTGAAAGGTGACATCAGAGAAGGGAGAGTTTTGCATATGCCAACTGAAAGGGGACATCAGAGAAGGGAGAGTTTTGCATATGCCAACTGAAAGGGGACATCAGAGAAGGGAGAGTTTTGCATATGCCAACTAAAAGGGGACATCAGAGAAGGGAGAGTTTTGCATAAATATCAACTGAAAGGGGACATTAGAGAAGAGAGAGTCTTATGTATGCCAGCTGAAAGTCTTATGTATATCATCATTTAAGAAATTATAATCAAAGTAACACATACAACAAAATTGGATGAGAATCAGTTTAACAGTTTAAGAACTTTAAAAAGTAAAATCCAAAGAGCAATAAACACCACTCCTAAAAATAATACATGGAGAGAGCGGCTGAAAATTTCTCAGTCAAGTTCACTTCCCAAAAAGCAAAATATTTCAATGACCGAACATCAGGATATTGATTTAGGATAGTGGGTTAGGTCAAGAACTTTTCAGCACCTCCCTACACAAGAGAAGGATTCACAAACTATGCATACCTGATATTTATGGACAAATTTTTGGATCCCCCTGGGCAGGTGTATTCATGCCAGGTAGCATCTGTCTCACTTGGAACATTGTCAACGATAGGTTTGTTCTTCAGTAAACTGAAACTATTGAAGCGTCGGACAGACACAGGTGAGAGATTTAAGGAATTTGTTTTCTTTTTTCCACCAAGAACCTGCAAAAATAGAAGAAAGAAATAAGTTGAAGAGATTTTATGCACAAAGAAAAAAAAGATATTCTTATTACTCAAGCATTGTGTGAAAAATGTACATAGAAATGGTCATCCAAAAAAAGACATGTGCAGAGGTAGGGTATAAAAACCTGAGAATAGCTTACACTGATTAGGCTATGAAAGCTGTACTCATATCCCAACATGTAGCATAAATTCTTTTTTTTCCTCTGAATGCTTGATATGTAGTCAATTTTGTAGTAATGCAGCTGCTACAGAAAGACATGCTCCCAAGGATAAGTAGAGAAATAACAAATGAAATTTAAGCAAAACTTAAAATCAACAACCACTTGTCACAGTATAAATCAGGATTTGGTATTTTTTTGTTTTTTTTGGAAGTGGGCCACACTGGTTGATTTTTTGACTTCTGGCCCAAAATCTGCAAGTCAGACTATTGAGATGACATAATCATATATATATATATATATATATATATATATATGAAATGTATATTTGGGCAGAAAGTATCCATCCAAACAAGTTTGATAAAAAAGAATTGACAAGATCTGTCTGTTTAATTTTTTATTGTACATTTCCACCTTTCAGAAAAGATGTTGAGTATTCTATTCGAAGTTGTGGATAAACATCTTAATCAATACCAAGAAGCAGACAAACAAATCAAAACTACCACACTGACACCACATCAGTTCTTGATAATGACTGGAAAGTCAAAAATACTTGAACAAAACTAAAAACTATAAACTTTGGACAGTTTATCCACAACTTTGAATATAATACTCAACATCTTATCTGAAAGTTGTAAAAGTATAATAAAAAATTAAACAGACAGACCTTGTCGGTTCTATTTCCCCAAACTTATATAGATATATGTATGTGTGAGTATGTGAACACTAACGTCAACACTAAGCAGCAACAGTCTATTTCATGCTCGAACGCTATCTTCAGGCCATTTATTTACATACACTCTATTACTGATATTGATCCTTTTACTCATAAATATAACATACATTAAAACTATATATATATATATATATATATATATATATATTCAGTTGTATGGATATTTTGCTTAAAGTTTTGCGTAAATTTCATTTGTTATTTCTGATCCAAATAGCTTGCTAACAATTGTAAGTTGATAAAAGCAAAAAAAAAAAGACAGGAAAATACTTTTTAAAAAAATGAATAAGTCATTTTAATTGATTACATAATGGTAATTACAAGAAAAAGTATCAACAGCTGAAATTATTACAAAGTGAAAGTTCACTGTATAGTATAACTTATACTATAGCACAAAAATCAGTCACTGATAAAACAGAGCTTTTAAAATTGGTCTGGTTTAGGCTTGAAGCAACATAGATGAGGTTCTATCATCAAATGCTATGAATGCCATGGACAGAACATGTGAGCAATGCGGATGTCTTAATGACAATAGAGACTACAAAGAAACTTATACTTACAATCAGAAAGAAAGCCAAGAGAATGTAATACTCACAGGACATATTGAAAGCAAGAGAAGCAAAGGGAAAGAGCAAATTTAAGTGAATGGATGACAGAACAAGGACAAAGAAGGATGGCAAAGGGTTAAAAATATGAAGAACAACAAAAGACAGGAAGTTTTGAAGACACAAACAGAAAGAACTTGATATGTAAAAGATGGTTTGGTTTGTTGGTTTTATGACATCAATTCTTAATGCTTTATTTAATACCAAAATCAGTCTTCTTTTTTTTTAAACAATTCTATTTTCAAGTATCTAGTTTTATTACAAATAATTTGAACAGAGTTATATGGTTTCAAGCATTTCCTATCTGATTACCCAAATAATTTGTATACAATTATATCCAAATTGGTATGTCATAACACCTGATTGTAATTAATCACTTGTTCTTTAATTATTAATTATATTTATTATATACATTTTGAATTCTATATTGCCAATGAAAATAGTTTGGAAAGTTCTGTATTTATTACATTTAAGTTCAAAGAAGACAATCACTCATTTCAGTTTATTAAAAATAAAGATTGTTGAATAATATCAGAGTTTTATCTATGTTCTCTAGTTGAAAACAAATTTTTTTCTAATTGGAATACCAATAAAAATTTCAGTTTTTTTCTTTGAATTTTCTGATGAATCCTAATTTAATACTTAAATAAGCTTCTTGCAAACAAGTCTGATCCCATGCATATAAAAGTCTCAATCCAACAAGGCTATATTAAATTTAAGTTTTCAGTTTAATATTTTGATATTGTGGATTCTTATGGGGTTAAGCCAAATGATCCTCTGGCACAACATTTCCTGTGTTCAAATTCATTTATCTCCAATACTAAATTTGTTATAATTGTGGCACATACACTGAATGGATGCACAGGTGGTGTAATAGACAGCAGCTCAGAATGAGAAATCAGAGAGCAGGGTTCAAATTTCATTCAAATTCATTACATTCATTTATCTTCAAATACCCTTGAGAAAGGTATGATCTATCTCTTCTTCTCCCAGCTATGGATTAAATAGTAGGACTTTTATATGAAAAAAATCATTGTTATTTCCCAAAATATTTATTCATTCACAAAAAAATGAATCATTTTTACAATCCAAAATATTCCCTGTGCCTTTTCTATAAAATACTTTCATGGTAATTGTTCTGATGAACTTTCTTTTATGATACCGAGACTTTATGAATTTAAGCACAGTACTAAATTGGTGGTATGGTCTTATCATCTTACAGCTGAAATGGCCACTAGATGTAACTATAAGTTTCTTCTATCGCACTTCTCGCTTGTGGAAGTCTCTTCCAGCTTCTTACTTCTCAGTCAACTTTGATCTTCAAAAATTTAAATGCAATGCCAATCATTATCTTTAATAGCGTTTTTTCACATATTCTGTAATTACTGTTCTCTCTCATTAATAGTGTTTCTTTTTCTTCATATTCTCTAACACTCACTAACTCCTTGCTTCTTAGTAACTTTATTGCCTTTCTTGAGATGAAATGATTCAAAAAGAAAAAAAAAAACAGTGTTGATAAGCCATAAAAAAAACAAATCAATCAATTAATCCATAGACTGCAGTACTTGAAGTGTTTAGAATTTAGTAATTCCACATTGTGAATTTTTATGATTGTTCCAGAGTTGGTGTCATCACTATTCTTGGATCAGCTAAAACAGTGTGCTAATAATAACTATTCAAAAAAGATGTTCAAGCTTCTTGATATCAAATTTTAATTTTCTCTTATTTTGAAAAAAAGTTATTTAATGAATCATCTTAAAGTCACAGACAAATGGTTCATCCACCCTTGTGCAAATTAATTGAAACAACCACTTTAGTTTCCTTTCTTTCATAAAATGGTCAGTTTTAGACCCAATGGAGTGACAGTGTATAATCAATTTCTATTTTTTACTCAGATTAGGTCATTTGAAGTGGTGTGCAGTAATTTTCGGGGTGTATGATGAAATTTGTTTGGCCTTAAAAAATATTGCATCATCCATGATTGCATCAGATTTTCATCAGACCCAGACACTATTGTCTCGACTGTTGATTAGTTGTCCTATGGCCATTGTCTGTGATAGATGTTACTCCAAGGAAGTGTATGAAAATTGTAACACTGCATGAACACACTGGCAAGCCTTACTAGTGAGCAAATCAAAGTACTATAGACTGGTGCGGAAAGTCTCCTGATTTAAATCCAATCGAGAATCTGTAGCTAATCTGCAAAGAACGACTTCATGGAATGGACATACAAAGTACTAACATGTGCACTGGGGCATGTTTCATTGGAAAAATATGAAAAAAAGTAAATAATAATGGAATTATTCATTTTGTTTCAATTAATTTGCACAAGGGTGTAGGTGATCATGGCCCTCCCCATCTTCCTGTATAATTAATTTGCACAAGGGTGTATTTTAATTGAGAATATTTCTTGTAAATAATTCGTTGACCCTTCATGTTATTTTCTAAGTGATCTACTAAAAACAAAAAAAAAATAATATTTTATTTAAACTTATTATTTCCCTGAATTAAATTTCTCTCTCTTGCTCAAATCAGCTGCTTTTCAAATGAAGTCAGTGCTACTGGAAAATGCAACAAAATTACTCACAACAATGACAGTACTTTGGTGGTAGTAATCCATTATTTAATATTAAAAATCAATCTTGGGGGAATTAATAACTTAATGGGTCATCACGTGTATAAATTCTTTTTCTATTTTATTGTTTTCAAAACATCAGGGGTTTAAATAATTTGCAAAATGAATTGATTTGAGATTCAACCAAAAATATTCTTATATTTTAGAGCAAGAATGAATATCTCCTGAACTTCTTCCATCAAAACAGTGTCAATTTCAAGAGATCAGTGATAGCAAAACTTGGGTTACAATTTTAGCTTGTTCGAAACTAATTCTGAGAATCTTATAGTCATGATAAAACAAAAAAGTCCTTTGCCTTCGAACAAGAATTTAAATTATATAAAGAAATATCTATCATATATATGCATGTTTTTTTTTCATTCAACAGTATTCAGCTTCTTGGGGAAAAAAAAAAAATCGATAAATTATGAATGCTTGTTGTGTATTTAGAGCTTCTGTAGCTTGTATATAATTTTAATCCGGGAGAGGATATGCTTTTAAGCAAAAATAAATAAAATTAATAAATGGAATAAAAGAAAAGAATTTTGTGTGATTCTTATATTCTTTTGTCATATGCCATGTCCCTTCAGGACATGGGCGATCATGATTCTCTACAACTCTCTATTGTTGTTCTATATCACATTTGCCCCTTTTTACTGTCCATCTTTGTTTGCTCAAACTCCTTAAGTAGGTTATTATTCACTGTTTCTTTTTTCTCTTATCACCTTCTGTGAGGTTCAAATTTACAAGGCCTGAACAGCCACCTTTCTAGGTCTTTGTGCAGTAATGCAGGTGTCCCCCACCCCCGGCTCTATCCTTGGACCTATGCTGTTTCTGATTTTCATCAATGACCTTCCTAAGGACATCACTTCTCAACTTGGTATCTATGCTGATGATACAACTATTTATTCTTGTCTTAATAGTAAGTCTGATCAGTACGATATGGTCAAATTGGCAGCTGATCTAAAAATGACCTACAATCTGTTGTTAAATGGGGCAAGGAATGGCTTGTTAATTTTCAAAAATGAAACTGCTCTCTATCAATCATCTGAGAGACCCCTTTCTGCCT